CACCTTCCACAATGAAGCAATTACGGAGATTCTTAGGAATGATAAACTACTACCGACAATTCATACCGAACTGTGCAACTATAATATTGCCATTAACAGACATGCTATCGCAACGAAAGAAAAAGAACTCGCAAATCGTACTATCGAAAGACGAATTAAAATCTTTTAACGATGCAAAAGACGCGTTGCAAAAATGTACAAAATTGTCGTATATTAATCCATCCGAAAATTCCAAACTAACACTCACGACAGATGCATCGGCTGACACAATTGGAGCAGTACTACACCAGATTACTAACAATGTAGAGAAACCACTATCATTTTTCTCGATAAAGTTAAACACTACCCAGAGGAAATATAGTACGTTCTCAAGAGAATTATTGGCAGTATACCTAGCAATACGACATTTTAGACACATTCTAGAAGGAAGAAATTTCGTAGTCTTCACCGACCATAAACCACTTACATATGCATTACATGCAAAGGCTGACAAATTAAATCCACGAGACCTAAGACATTTAGATTACATCAGCCAGTACACAGCAGATATCCGATACGTAAAAGGTCAGAATAACACAGTAGCGGACGCATTGTCCAGAACTACGCTCAACGCACTACAATCACAACCACTAAACTTTGACACTCTCGCTGAGGAACAAGCAAACGACAACGAATTACCGTCTGTACAAAAAGATACCTCACTTCAAATTGAAAAAAGACCTTTACCCTTTACTAATGAACTCGTGTATTGTGACGTTTCCACAGGTAATCCTCGACCGTACTTACCTTTGTCACGAAGAAAATCAATTTTCGATCATTTCCATTCGCCAGCTCACCCTGGAGCGAAGGCTACGCTGCGGACCATAGCTGACAGATACGTCTGGCCCGGTATGTCTTCGGACGTGAAACAGTGGTCTCAGACGTGCCAACGTTGCCAGGCAACGAAAATACACCGACATACCAAAGCACCATCGTCGACCTTCGCGACACCAGATGGACGATTTACGCACATACACGCAGACTTAGTCGGTCCACTCGAAAAAATTAATGGACACGAGTACATTCTAACGATCATTGACCGCTTTACGCGATGGCCAGTTGCGATACCACTAACATCAATAACGGCAGAAACAGTGGCTAACGCAATTTTCAACAACTGGATTTCTATATTTGGATGCCCTGCAGTTATCACAACTGACAGAGGTCCCCAATTTCAATCAACGCTATTCAACGAATTTGTCAACATTTTAGGCATAAAACACATCTCTACCACCGCATACCACCCATGCAGCAACGGAATAGTGGAGAGATTCCATAGACAGCTCAAGTACGCATTAACAGCGTCTACCAGTGCTCGTACGTGGGTAGATAAGCTACCATTTGTGATGCTTGCGCTGCGAAATACAATAAAACTGGATCTCAAATGCACCAGTGCAGAATTAGTTTTTTGGGAAAGCAACAACGCTGCCTGGACAGATATTTCACAACGAGACGACATCTACACCAACGAATTACTTTGTGGCAGACCTAAAAAGAAGATGATGGACGTTATATATACACCCACGAGGGCGTATAAAAAAACCTTTCTACGTGCCAGCAGATCTACATTCAGCAGAATATGTTTTCCTGAGGCGCGACACTGTACGGAAACCATTAACGCCCAACTACACAGGTCCACACCTGGTAATATCTAAAACACCCAAATTCTTCATAATTGATATCGCCGGTAAACAGAACACCGTCAGTATAGACCGTCTCAAACCAGCATATCTGCAATCCGACGACACAGATCGAACAATAACGAAACCGACGACAACAGAACAAACAGAAACGCAAACAACTACTGATACGACCGAATCAACACAGTCTACCCGTACAAAAATCAGGAAGGAATGTTCACTGGCCAACCAAGTACCGAACCTACATTACATATTAATGCTCATTCACCAAGGCATTAATCTGGGGGAGGTATTGTGGACTCTTCTAATTTTCTAACCTTCTCCAACCTTAAAAAAGCATAATCCATATTATACGCCTACGCGCAGATAACGCTCAACCAATAAAAATGCAAAGAATCGAATCAAGCAATTCTATTGGTAGATCGCCTCCCAAAGCAAGAATTGCGCCAAAATATCTTGAGCCACTTTCGAAAACCCAAAAGGTTATAAAAAGGAGAAAAGACAACCCCAGTCAGTCAGTCCAGCTCACTTTTTGAGCGACTGCACGGTTCAACTCTCTGTCTCCGGATTTGAGGAACCTGAAGGAGGCTACGCCGAAGGGCGAAGTCTCCTTCGGGGAGGTTAACTCCGGCCCTGAACCCGTTTATACGGGTTCAAATGGGCTATTTTTTGGCTGAGCCTAATGGCTCGGGAATGCCCACATTAAAAAAGGCCTTTATGACACCCTCGGGGTGGGTGACTGAATATCTCAGTCCAGCTCACTTTTGAGCGACTGCACGGTTCAACTCTCTGTCTCCGGAGGAGAGGAACCCTAGGCTACGCCGAAGGGCTCAGGTTAAATGAACCCGTTTATACGGGTTCCTATTTTTTGGCTGAGCCTAATGGCTAAAAAAAAGGCCTTGTGCCGCATGACACCCTCGTGGGTGGGTGACTGAATATCTCAGTCTAGCTCACTTTTTGAGCGACTGCACGGTTCAACTCTCTGTCTCCGGACGGAGAGGAACCCGAAGGAGGCTACGCCGAAGGGCGAAGTCTCCTTCGGGAGGTTAAACGGCCCTGAACCCGTTTATACGGGTTCAAATGGGCTATTTTTTGGCTGAGCCTAATGGCTCGGGAATGCCCACATTAAAAAAGGCCTTGTGCCGCATGACACCCTCGTGGGTGGGTGACTGAATATCTCAGTCTAGCTCACTTTCTGAGCGACTGCACGGTTCAACTCTCTGTCTCCGGACGGAGAGGAACCCGAAGGAGGCTACGCCGAAGGGCGAAGTCTCCTTCGGGAGGTTAAACTGGCCCTGAACCCGTTTATACGGGTTCAAATGGGCTATTTTTTGGCTGAGCCTAATGGCTCGGGAATGCCCACATTAAAAAAGGCCTTGTGCCGCATGACACCCTCGTGGGTGGGTGACTGAATATCTCAGTCTAGCTCACTTTCTGAGCGACTGCACGGTTCAACTCTCTGTCTCCGGACGGAGAGGAACCCGAAGGAGGCTACGCCGAAGGGCGAAGTCTCCTTCGGGAGGTTAAATTCGGCCCTGAACCCGTTTATACGGGTTCAAATGGGCTATTTTTTGGCTGAGCCTAATGGCTCGGGAATGCCCACATTAAAAAAAGGCCTTGTGCCGCATGACACCCTCGTGGGTGGGTGACTGAATATCTCAGTCTAGCTCACTTTCTGAGCGACTGCACGGTTCAACTCTCTGTCTCCGGACGGAGAGGAACCCGAAGGAGGCTACGCCGAAGGGCGAAGTCTCCTTCGGAAGGGGCCCTGAACCCGTTTATACGGGTTCAAATGGGCTATTTTTGGCTGAGCCTAATGGCTCGGGAATGCCCACATTAAAAAGGCCTTGGCCTGCCACCCTCGTGGGTGGGTGACTGAATATCTCAGTCTAGCTTTTCTGAGCGACTGCACGGTTCAACTCTCTGTCTCCGGACGGAGGAACCCGAAGGAGGCTACGCCGAAGGGCGAAGTCTCCTTCGGGGAGGTAAAATGGCCCCTGAACCCGTTTATACGGGTTCAAATTATTTTTTGCTGAGCCTAATGGCTCGGGAATGCCCACATTAAAAAAGGCCTTGTGCCGCATGACACCCTCGTGGGTGGGTGACTGAATATCTCAGTCTAGCTCACTTTCTGAGCGACTGCACGGTTCAACTCTCTGTCTCCGGACGGAGGAACCCGAAGGAGGCTACGCCGAAGGGCGAAGTCTCCTTCGGGGAGGTTAAACCGGCCCCGAACCCGTTTATACGGGTTCAAATGGGCTATTTTTTGGCTGAGCCTAATGGCTCGGGAATGCCCACATTAAAAAAGGCCTTGTGCCGCATGACACCCTCGTGGGTGGGTGACTGAATATCTCAGTCTAGCTCACTTTCTGAGCGACTGCACGGTTCAACCTCTGTCTCCGGATGGAAAATGGAATTTTTTTGGCCCTAATGGCTCGGAATGCCCACATTAAAAAAAAGGCCTTGTGCCGCAAAACACCCTCGTGGGTGGGTGACTGAATATCTCAGTCTAGCTCACTTTCTGAGCGACTGCACGGTTCAACTCTCTGTCTCCGGACCCTGAAGGAGGCCGCCGAAGGGCGAAGTCTCCCTTCGGGAGGTTAAACCGGGAACCCGTTTATACGGGTTCAAATGGGCTATTTTTTGGCTGAGCCTAATGGCTCGGAAATGCCCACATTAAAAAGGCCTTGTGCCGCATGACACCCTCGTGGGTGGGTGACTGAATATCTCAGTCTAGCGAACTCGCCGATCGATTGCCTAATTAATCCACGACATTCAAAAACAGAATTTTACCGCGCATTTTTGACGAACTTCAACTGACTCACCTGAAACACTCAACGAACAACTATCGAAACTTTGAACAATATTTCTTATGCACATTGATTTATTCATTACTAAAATAAGAAATACGAATCACGAAAACAAACACAGACACGTTCAAAGGTAGACTACTTTTAGCAAACTTTACCAAAAACTCTTATTATATATTTCAACACAAACACAAAATAACAAACATAACGACACAGAGACATCCAACATTTCAGCAACATATACAATTAACGCACGCAACAATACAAATATTAACCTTGTTTGTAAATATGTAATTGTATATAAATGTTTTATTTGTTTCGATCTATAAATGTCTCGTTTTTACTTTGTTTGAAATCTCATATTTGTTATATATTTGTTTGGGACAAGGTTTAGACACACAACCGATCCGAACAAAATCCTTCTGATTAATTAAATGAACCAAAAGTCCCAACACTATAAAATGCCAAATCTTTTTTTTTCTCTTTTCTAACATCACTAATTCGTTTTCAGTACAAGGAATCCGATTTGTAAATATACCACTCTTTTTTTTAATTTTCCCAATTCTCATTGGTGTGATCCTTTCTTTCTTTCTTTTTTCTTTCTTTCTTTCTTTCTCATTTTATTTTTTGTTTTATTTTCTTTCTTTTCTTCATTTTCTTTCTTATTCTTTTTCCTCCTTTTCTTTTCGATTTCTTTCATTCTTTCTTTTCTTCTTTTCGTTTTTCTCCTTGACTTTTTGATTTCTTCCCATTTTTCTTTCTTTCTTTCTTTTTTTCTTTCTTTCTTTTCTATTCTTATTTCTCATTTTCTTCTTGCTTTAGTTTTCTCTCTTTCTTTCCTTCTTTTTCTTTTATATTCTTTTTTTCTCCTTCTTTATTTCTTTTTTCTTTTGTTCTTTCTTTCTTTCTTTTTCTTTTCTATTCTATTCTTTTTCTACTTTATATTTTGATTTATTTCCTTCTTTCTTTCTTTCTTTTCTCTCTTTCTCTTTTTGCTTTATTTTTCTTTCTTTCCTTCTTTTTCTATTCTGTTCTTTTTCTCCTTTTCTTTTTGATTTCTTTCTTTCTTTTCTATTCTTTCTCATTTTTTTTGTTTTCTTTTTCTTTCTTTCTTTCTTTCTTTTTTTCTTTCTTCTTCGTTTCTATTCTATACTTTTTCTCCTTTTCTTTTTCTTTATTTTTCTTTCTTTCTTTTTCTTTTCTGTTCTATTCTTTCTTTATCGTTTTCTTTTGCTTTCTTTTTCTTTCTTTTCTTTGTCTCGAATATAAAATAAACGGTTTTTATGCCCTCTCTTTTCACACTAATCCACAGATGTCGCATATCTGCCAATCACCTGTTGATGACCAAAATGGACACCTGATGCTGAGTCGTGTGTATATTAACATTTATATCAACCAAGATGAGAACAATAGCTCACAATAATCCAAGAATATTGACAATTACTCATCTCAGAAATGAAATCCTAAATTATGAAAAGCGGTACGAACACGTCATCATAACCAAATGTCAAAAACCATCTGACATTGAATATAAAAGGCTCCAAAAAAACACGTCACTAATGTCCTGCGTAGTGGACGTAGTACTTAATTATACATATTTTACTGTCATCTAGTGATCGCGTGTTTTATCTTTGGATCAGCTAGAGAAGTGCTGATCCAGCAGAAACGGAGAATAACTGATATAACAGGGATAAAATATCACAATATTCAACAGATATCACACATCAGCCAACCAAATGAACCACTGATGATGACCAGAGGGCAGATGGCTGAAACGTTGTTTCTATAATGACATCTATATCAACCAAAATGAGAACAGTCCGAAATAATTCAAGTATATTTATATCCTCTTCCAGCAGGCTGGAAAAAACGTTTCCCTGTTGTGCAGTTTTGTTGTTATTTCGATGTGTTGATAAATTTAATAGAAGCGGTGCGTAATTTTGCAAGTGGAGCCTAGTTTGAAATATCATCCTCGTCCGCACATACGTTCTACGATTGAGAGTGTTCTCAGGTATCTTCTTTTTTTTTTAATCGGTGTCACTTGAAGCAAGGCAGTACAGCTACTAACACGCAAGGGGTTACAGGGTGTGGAGGAATTAGGAACAGAAACATTAGTAATGAGTAGAAAGAGAAAAGAGCGATCAGGACAGTAGATAGCGATTGACATAGCAATGATAATAAGCGATTCACATAGACTTTAAATTCTTACAGATTAAAGTTGGCTGGAAAACATGGAGCTGGAAAGGAGTTCCACAAACGAGAAGTACGAGAAAAGAAACTGTTACCATATAAGTTATGGCTATATCTAGCTATCTCAAATGTAAATTGATGCGATCTCAAGATCGCATTAATTGCGATATTTGATATTTGGATGGCTCGGATGGTTCACCAGAGTTCTTAAAAACTTGAACAAGAGACGATGACTTCCAGCAGGTAAGAAATCAGGAGGCAGCGAGACATTTATTATACAGTTTAGAGAGAACAGGAGCCAGTTGGGGAGCATATTTCTTAATGTCTATTGCAGGGATACCATTGGGTCCACATGATTTGTAGAGATCAAGGTTAGTGATGATAGCAGAGACCATGGAAGGGGTTATATACATATCACTCAACTCAGTTCTAAGTCAGCAGGGGTACTCCGGATAAGTCAAGAGTAGAGTTTGCGGAGAATTTACAGGTAAAACATTCAACTTTTTCAGCAGAAGATGATAACACCTCAAATCGATTGAAGAGTGGGGGATAGAGACCTTACTCTTATTGTGTACCCTATTACAGAGACGCCAGTAATCACGAAAGCCAATTTTTTAGGGGCAATACAGTGCCTCATTCTCTCAACAAAGATTCATGATGTTTTCCAAGTCCCCTTAGCCGCTTCTTTCAAACTTAAAAAAACAACCTTTTCGAGACACGGCCATGATGCTCCCACTCATGAACAGATATGCACAGTGAATCAACCCTTCGAGGATATCGCTAACTTGTTATGGTCGTGCCACTGACAAGCAAATCTGTGTCACTGAACGAGATATTTACTGTAGCTCATCTTAATTCATCAAGGAAAAAAAAAAAAAATAAATAACATCTCCAATCCATTAAGATGCGAAATCATGAGTTTGGCGATTTATTATTATTAATATTATCTCTTCTTTCTCGCTGTTTTTCGTTTTATACGAAGGTATTGGATTGTGGGTGTTCCCTGTCAAGTCGCACGGCCTGAAACAGTATCTTTCTCAGAATATTGGCAGAGACAAGCAACGCAGACTTCTGAAGCGACGATGGGATACTAGGCTTCATTCCGATTTACTTCATGTAGGTTCCTTGGTATAGACCTCCAACTCTTCAGTGATAACTGACAAAATAGTGGCCTGAACATCCCACGTTCTCTCAACCTCATTCGGGTGGCTAGGGTACTTTTTAAAATTCCCAATTTCTTTAACTTTAATACTATCGTGAGTGTATAATAGACACATACATCGCAGTCATATGTGTGCTATATGGTAGCAGTGGATAATCCATTAAGATCAGACATCATGAGAATTATGTTTGGTGTTGCATCATGGGATTTATAATAATAATAATTATTATTATCTCAATACGGTGGCTAGCGTACTTTGTAAGCTTTCCAATTTATTTGGCTTTAATATTATTCTCCCCAAGGATAGACACGTTGATGATGAGGCATTGTGCTGTTTATTATTATTATTATTATTATTTCAACAACAGTTACCACAAGGGCGCGGTCTGTTTGAAACCCCATAAGATCTTGACTTCTGTAGCTTGTGGCGGCACCATTTCAGGTTATCGAAAACGACCAAGTCAAGATCAATTCCTTGAGTCAACCAAACCAAACCAAACGTCACCGGTGTTGGAAAAATAGTTATTATTATTATTATTATTATTATTATTATTATTATTATTATTAAATGCAGTCGTAAACCTTCCTTGTGACGTCACTATATCTCTTTTATATTCCTTGTTCATAATCTTCACTCTTCCCCGTAAGCCCCGTATAAAACGGGGTCGGGTAGCTGTTTCCCGAATGGAGAGTCTGCCCTTCGACATAGCCTCGTCTGGGGATCCTCTCTGTCCGGAGGCAGAGTGTTTAACCAGCACAGCTGGAGATGAATCTCCAACTGGAGACCAACATACAGTATTTACTACTGAATTTATTTTATGTGCCGTGTCCCTTGATGTCCTTGGTCTACATGGCTCTCCACAATTTTGTCTCTTTATTATTATTATTATTATTATTATTATTATTATTATTATCTCTTTTTTCTTGCGGTTTTTCGTTTTCAACCGGAGATATTATATTGTGGGTGTTCTCCGTCAAGTCGCACGGCTTGAAACAGTATCTTTCTGAGAATATTTGCAGAGACAAGCAACGCAGACTTCTGAAGCGACGATGGGATACTAGGCTTCATGTAGGTTCGTTGGTATAGAGCCCCCAACGTATCAGTGATAACTGACACAATAGTGGCTTGGATATCCCACGTTCTGTCAACCTCAATCCGATGGCTAGTTTACTTTTTAAACTTTCCAAGTTCTTTAGCTTTAATATTATCGTATGTGTATAGTTGGCACATACATCGCAGTCATATGTGCGCAAAATGGTAGCAGTGGATAATCTTACAGGTGGGGACCAGTTTGAAATACATTCAGTCTGGATAACACAGTCCGCAGAGACGGTTTCCAATTAAGTCTGTTTGCAAATGTCTAGATTTGTCTCAAAAGTCACCTAGGATGCTTCATACTTTAAAATTTAAAAACAAAAAACTCTCGAAACCTGGCTATGATGTTCCCGCACTACTCCGGTTCAGGAACAGAGATCCACAGTACGTCAACCCTTAGAGGACATCTTTGGATATCAACTCTTTATGGTCAGGCCGCCTGACAAACAAATCTATGGCACTGAACGAAATATTTACTGTGGCCAAAAAAACAAAACAAAAACAAAAACAAAACATGCACGTAATCGTGTTTGGTATGGCATCAGGGCATCTATTATCATTATTAATAATAATAACTAGCAATAGAGCCCGGCGTTGCCCGGGGATGTAACAGTAAGAGATAGATCATGTATCGACCATCATAAAGACTGAAAAATAAAATTGACAAAGATTATTGTTTAAGGTTGACGCACACGCATGTCTTAATTAGTTTTTTTTTTTTTTTTACGAATTGGTCAAACCCAAACTCAAACAAAAACATTTCAATCGTTATGAGTCTACCGATTGAATAGAATTTTATTTTAAAAACAATTGTCTTGTAAATGGAATTTTTTAGAGCATTCTGAATGTAAAAATAAAGAAAAAGTGTGCAAGACAATAAGAAACACTACCTGCTAAAAAAAAAGTGAAGTTTTGTTGAAATCGGTTGAAAATGTAGGAAACCGATCCCATATATAAACACACACACACACACACACACACACACACACACACACACACACACACACACACACACACAAACAATCTGGGTTTTATAATAAGTATAACTTGATATGATTTGTCCCCCTTTCATTCTTCTGACAACGACTTCTTAATCGTGTTTTCAAATTGATTTTGTGCAAAAACAATTGTGTTTTTCCAATTTTGGGTGCTGTCAGAACCACCGCAAGGTAATTTTATGTAGTCCTGTGAAGTTTTATTGAAATCGGTTGAAAAATGTAGGAAATCCGATCCAATATATAAACGCACACACACACACACACACACACACACACACACACACACACACACACACACACACACACAGGGTTTTATAATAAGTATGATGAGTGAGGGAGCAATATGCCTTAACTGGAAGATATAGTACAAATACACGAAGCTCAGTTTATAGCTGATACCGGGTGCCTGCATTACAGCCGGGTGTGGGTGATACAACGGTAGATTTTCTTAAAAACAGTGCATAATCTCGCATTTGAGAGCTACATTAGAAATAACTCCGGTTCAGGTAACGCAGTACGCGCAGACGGTCTTCGATTAAGTGTGTTAACAATTATCTTGATATGTCTCTCAAGTCGCCTTAGCTGACCCATCGTTCAAACTCAAATAAAGTCAACCCTCTCGTGACCCGACCTTGATGCTCACGCACTGGCCTCGCTTATTAACAGAGATACACGGTGCATCAGCGCCCATGGAACATGATCAACATGTGTTGTAGCATACCTACGGACGATAATGGGTATGTCCCCATTCACATAAACTCAGTAGTAAATACTGT